TATCCCATTAAGCACCTCAGAGCGGTGGTCTTTCCCAAGAGGCGCTCGGGGCCTGCCGCCTGCCTAACCCGCCGGACGCGGTAGCCTGGCATCGGTGAAGGCGCGCGCACACACAGAGACGCCATTTAGAGGCCTACGCCGCTTCCAGGAAAGAGAAAGAGAGAGACAGACAGAGAGAGAGAGAGAGAGAGAGAGAGAGAGAGAGAGAGAGAGAGAGGGAGACCCCTGACAACCAAGTCGTGTGTGTGTGTGTGTGTGTGTGTGTGTGTGTGTGTGTGTGTGTGTGTGTGTGTGTGTGTGTGTGTGTGGAGGGTGGGCTGACAAAGTTGTCTCTTTGGCAGTCGTGCCTCCTATTGAAGCAGTAATTTATTCAAAGGAGATTTTTATCCCCGCCATGTGATTCTTATGATAATGGGGCGGTGCACGCCTCCTTTTTGGACCCTTGTCTGCGGCTCCAGGCTCGGCGCTAACACTAAAAACTGATTTGCACGCTTCCCACAAATCCCACCGCGGCCTCCCCCCTTCTATGCCAGATTCCTGGACTCCCGCATGCATCCCACGCACACACCGAGCGCCACGCACGTGCATGCCGGAGACGGGGGCTCGCGGCCCGCTTGGTGTCAAACAGGGATGAAATGCTTTACCGGTAAAGAGTGATGAAATTCCTCTGGGAAGCGTTGTCATTTTCAGCTTCTCCCCTCTCATAGCAAACAGACACTAAAGAAGAAAGTGAAAAACAGACAATGTTAGCGTGCAAATAGGGTAAATATGGGATCACAGAGCAGACAGCCAAACAAGAACACTGAAGCCAGACTTTTTTCAATGAAGGGAGCATAAAAAAAGTACAAACAGAAAACAACGATGACAATCGTGTCGGTACAAAATATCTATTTTTGGAGCAGTATAAGAATCCCCTCGGTATAAGCTAAAGTAGGTGAACGGAGTCAAAAGGGAAGCTAGATGCTAAGGACAAAATAAAACCTGACCGCTTGCAAAACGAGTAAAGACCGAACTATCACAAGCACAACGATATAAACAACGCAGAGTACTATCTTGTGAATTGTGCCAGGTACGTTCTTTCTAAGAACGTCGACGGGAGTCTCTTTGTAAATTGGACGGCTGTGTAATTGCTCATTTCCCCCCTCGACTGTGATGTGTTTCTGTGATAGCGGCACCCAATGTATCTTGAGATATTTTCCTCGCCAAACCTTCGCAAGCAACCAACCGCTACATCTTTAGTTTAAGCTAGCTGACAAGAACAAGATACGGGTAGTCTCTGAGTTCTTGGTTTTGTCGTATTTTTCGACTGGAACAGTACTTGGGCGGCGACGGATGACGTTTCGCAAGACCATAACAACGTACCAATGGACAAAAATACAAACTAAGAAATGGCTAGACCACGGGTACCCAAGTCTGGTCCTCGGGCGCCCCTATTCAGTCTTTTTAAAATATTTCCCTCCTCCATCTCACCTGATTTAAACGATGGGGATTGTTGGCAGGCTTCTGCAAAGCTTGCTGATGAGCTGCTCATTTAAAGACAAGAAGACGACAAAGAAGATGGCAGACGCGAATGGTACGGTGCTACAAAATGGACGCAAGCGATACGGTAACGGTAGACACAGTTGGGCTTGACTCCATTTCAAATGTCATAATCCAGCATTACTGTATGACTGGGGAGGCCAGCACGGTGAAATAGTGATGAGCACATTTGCCTCAACAGCCAAGAGGTTCCCGGTTCAAATCTCTGGACCGCGGTTGGAATTTGCATGTCCGTTCAGTGCTTGCGTTCCAAAAACATGCATGTTAGCCTCATTCACGAACCTAAACTGCACACGGTTTGGAATGTATTATGTGAATGTAAGTGTGATTGTTTGTCTATATTTGTCCCATGGCTGACTGGGGACGAGTTCAGGGTGTCCTCAGTTTCTCTCGCCTGCATCTGTAATGAAGAGTAACACTCTTGAAAATGGAATGATGGAGATTTTAGTCATCTTCCAATTCCGCTGAGCTAGGGCATCCATCAGCTGCGTCACGGTGTGGGGGGTGGAGGGAGCTACCCGGAAGTGACCTGCGTGACGTCAGGGAGGGGCGTGTCCTTGTCTGACTAATATATATATCTATATATATATATAGATATATATATCTCTATATATCTATATATACGTGTCTGTGTGTGTGTGTGTGTGTGTGAGTGTGTGTGTGTGTGTGCGCGCGTGTGTGTCTGTTCTTGGAACAGCCATGTCCAAGTTCTCAGTACGTGTGACGCAATAATGGAGAGCGCGAGAGAGCCGCCAGGGGGAGTCGGGGGGAGGGGGGGAATGATGATAAGGCGATGGAAGAGGGAGGGTCATTTTTTTGGCGAGGGGGGGAAGAGCCAGTTTGGCGGGAAATAACGGTTCTGCCGCTGCCATTGGAGGACGAGGCAGCGGCAGGCGTCTGAGTGGATGGACGCCACACGCACGCACACGCACGCACGAACGTCACGGCTTGGCGCGGCCGTCAAGAGCGCGCGCGTCAGCCTCCGCCGGCTCAGTCGCCGCTCACTCGCCATCAGTACGCACGTACAGCCGGGAGCCTCATCACACGCTCGGATGGTTCCGGTTCCGGTCCCAGATACGGCGTGAGTATCAAACATCACTGCTGATATTCGTACAATTTGTATGACTCATAATCATATTTTTGTTCTTTAATTGAGGGGAAATGCACTCGCTTGCATGCCATCTTGATTGTGCGCCATCCCCATCCGCTGAAGAAGGCAAATAGAAATAAACAACGTGAATTCTGATTTTCAACAATATTATGTGCGCTTAGGAGCCAGTGCTCGATCACGTGTTGGTTCCGCCGCTGCTGCTGCTGCTGCTGCTGCTGCTGCTGTTACGTGCACGCGTGGCGGTAAACAACGTGCATGTGCGCGTGATTTGACGTGATTTCTAGCATCTTCATTATCATTATTTCTCGTCGTGCATGCGCACGCAAGCAGCAGGCCCCAATTAACACGAACAAACACGAAGACACACTTTATTTTTTATTTTATTTTTTTTTAGTCCTGCACGTTGACGCCGTGCGCGGCCACGTGAGTCACATCGAGATGATGAGGAGGATTATGCGAGCAAAAGCCGCAGTGCACGCGCATTAATAACGAGACAAAAAAAGTGCAGGCGGAGGCTTCACATGGAAGGGAAAAATGGCGTGTTTTTTGCCTGTATACGTATATATGTATACACACACACACACACACACACACACACACACACACACACACACACACACACACACACACACACGTACACACAACAGCGCGCACGCGTTCGGATCAGAACATTTAGGGAAGAAAACACGGATTATGCAAGGTTCCACATGATGGGGCTGTGAGATTTTCGCGGAGACACACACACACACACACACACACACACACACACACACACACACACACACACACACCCACACACTTGCACGCGCGCGCACACACACACGCACACACACTCACACGGCCCAATAGTTTCTAATTGAACGTATCGCAAACACAATTACATTGATTTATTGTGTTACATTTTGTGATGGTTCGTATTAAAATTTCAAAGCAGAAACACGTGGCACGCGTTGAGTGAGCGCTGGCGTTTATAAACGTGTGCAAAAATTGTGCGTGCACCTCTGTGGAAATTGTGCTCCATTTCACTTTGTATTCCACGGAGTGTGCTCTACAAGAACTAATTGAGCACCTGCATTTTGAACATTTTCAAAAGCAAAACGTGAGCATGCGTGTTCGTTCCATTTGCGGAATAAAAATTTTGTATCTCCTTTTTCTTTGCAGACGTGCACCCACGCGCGCACACTCAAAGGCCTGACGATACGCGCACGCGCCGTGTAGGTAATTGACCACACACACGCACACACACGCGCGCATTCACCATATCATTTTGTATTTTTAAAATATGTATTTTAATTTTTTATATATTTTTAGACATTGGTAATAATAATTGACGACTTCAAAATAATTCCGTTCAAACACGTGAGCAGGGTTCAATCGTGCGTTAAACACAGTATGTAAATGACAATGATACGATAATCTAATCTAAATTTATAAAGGCAGGCCATTTAAAATAAAAGTGTACTTCATGTTTTAAAAGCGGGAAAAAAAACATCCCAGCGACCAGTAAATATAAAAGTGCATGTTGAATATTGGAGCATATTAAAGACTTTAATATGCTACAAAGGCGAAGAGGAGCATATTGACAAAAGTGAATGATTACAAATCGTGAATACTGTCAATAACTCGGTGTATTATTATGATTTTTATTATTAGGTTTATTATCATCACCTCCTTTGCAAACCAAAAAATGTAATCTGAGTGTGAGGGGGACAAAAACGTAAAAATGATGCAATATAAAGTGTCAATATGACATTTTTACATGCTGTTAATAATTAAATACATACGTACTGTATTTGATACGTGTGTGTGTGTGTGTGTGTGTGTGTGTGTGTGTGTGTGTGTGTGTGTGTGTGTGTGTGTGTGAGAGACATTCTATATATGTGTGTTGTGTTTGCACTGTGTGTGTGTTCACATCTACAAGCGTACTTGTGCCCTCCCGTCGATTGTGTCGCACATGCCGGTTGTTTTCATCTTCCTGTGTTAGCATGTAGCACCTGCGGTAACACAAAGTAGCATCTGTGCTAACACGTAGTAGCGTCTGTGCTCAAGGCACGGCGTCCATGTTGACTGGAGAATATGCCACCGCCTGCAAATATATAGCTCCATCTCCTCCCTTTCAAAGAAGGGGAGTGACTTAAGGGGGGCGGGGGGGATTGTGGGCACACACAGCCGCTTTAATTAGACGCACCCCTGTGCCATGTACCCCACTGGGTGTGTTACATTATCGACATCTGCTTGTGTGGGTTTTTTTATTTTTGTGTGTAAAAAGGTAACACTGTATGTGTATTGGTGGATTTTCCCCTTCGTGCTCCCTCCACCTTGCCGCCCGTCCCCCTGTGGCTTTTGGCACCAACCTGAGCGTTGGCATCAGATAATGGAAATGAAGAGCGTCTTTCTTTTGTAGTCCAACAGCCAGCATCCTGGTTTCATTTAAAAAGAAATTTTGGTCCAGGCGGGGGGTGGCGTTAGAAGATGTCACCCACCCGCAGGGCTCGCCCGGTGAGTGACGTGGGCGCGCCACGGGGGAGGGCGGGCACCAGGCGGCGGGCTGGTTTGAACCGGCTATCACCCCACCCACCACTGCTTTGCTTAAAGCCTCGTTCACACAGTTTACGAAAAAAGGGTTGTGTCCAGACCATTTGTGTTTCACACTGAACACAGCAAAGTAGGAAACATTACCCAAGTAAGTTTCAGGTGTACTTTCACATACTACCTTTGATGTTGGGAAATTTGCAATTTGAATTCTGCCCTAACAAAAATAAAATTAAATAATGCCATCTTTAACGGGCAGCGTGAAAGGGGTGAATTGAGTTTGACCCCCTATTCCGCCTCTGTACTTTTCGCACAGTGACATGGGATGGTCCGAATTGTGCTCAGAGACTCCTTAAGAAATTTGGTTGGGGTCGGGAGGGGGAGGGGGTGGTGATTTCCACACGCTACTCCATGTTGTTACCTTTCAAACAGAACATGGTTGTGCCTTGAGATACGAGTGACTCGACTTGTGAGTGACTCCTTCAAGATCCAAGCCGTTTTGACTTTGAATTTGAGATACCATACAACTCAACAC